GAGGCTTTTGGTGGCACTTCAGAACACCATCAGCCTTCTTGGGTTGCTAGGAAAATGCCAGTTTTCACTGCTTCTGGACCACAGACCTGGGGAGCCAGGAGTTTGGAGTGGCAGTGGGGTAAAGGTGAGTAGTACCGAGTGAAACACTTGTTTCTACTGAGGTTCTTAAGTTTGCTGAGCCTTTAGTTAATTTCTACAGTCTTGAAATGGTGGATATTGATAATTTTGCCAGTATTTTCATGAGACAGTATTTATTCAGGTCCTCATTCCCCCACTCCAGAAATCCTACTATAAGGCATGTCTCTAAAAACTCCAGGAAAGTACAGACAATTTAATAATAACAAATACCTTCATTTCTTTTTTTTTTTTTTTATCTTTATGAAAGAAATAGAGGTCTAGAAATAAAGTAAAGCAACCTCCTCCCCCTCATTTCTTCTCCTGAGCCCTGCATTCCTTATTACCTCCCAGGCAAATAATAGCAAGAATTTGGTGAATAGAACATTCTTTAAAAAAAAAAATTGTCGGGCCCTCCCTGGTGGCGCAGCGGGTTGGGGCACAACACAAAGAAGCTTAAACCACTGCCTCTTAGTTCGATTCCGCCTGCCCCGGAGGAGATCCACATGGCGAGGCAGACCTCTCCTGACCCGCCCGCTGCTCCCCTCAGCAGTGTACTTCGTCGATCTGCCTGTTCTGTACCCCGCTCTGTCTCTGGTGAATCCTCTCACCCTCTGCATCTCTGACCTGTACCCCAGTTCTGTATAAATAAATAAATAAATCTTTAAAAAAAAAATTGTCAAGGCCCTCCCTGGTGGCACAGCGGGTTAAAGCACAGCACTGAGAAGCTAAAGCCACTTCAGCATAGTTCTACCCCCACCCCGGAGGTGACCACATGGCGCGGCAGACCCCTCCTGACCCGCCCGCTGCTCCTCTCAGCGGTGTACTTCGTCAGTCAGCCTGTTCTGTTCCCCATTTCATCTCTGGTGAATCCTTTCAAAGCCCCTGCACCTCTAGCCTGTACCCCAATTCTGTATGCATAAATAATTATTTTTAAAAATTGTCAGATAAGTGCTCTTGAACTAAGAGTCTTTGTGCAACTTGCTTTCTGGGTTCACTGTCATACATTGAGCTTTACCAATGCTGATTCATTAGATTTTGTGATTTTTTAAACTCCTCTCTAACGTTTCAGTGTATCTGAATATCATGGCTCATTAATCCATACCCCTATTGGTGGGCATGTGATTAGTTCTAACATTTTGTTATGCTTTTGTTTTTTTACTGTTAACATGGTTCATATTTGCAGAATTTCCCTTTGGCATGACACTAAGTGGAATATATTTTAGGGTATATACATTTTCACCATTACTGCATATATTATTTTTGTCCTCTTACAAAGAGAAACAATTTGGCTTGTATATTTACACGTTTTGCATCTGTATAAGTGAAATTGCTTTATAATATTCTCATATTCTGTCTTTATTTGCTTTGGCATCAAGGTCACTGTTTTTATAACGCATTTTATCAACTTTCTATTGGTTATTTTGTGCCAGGTATAATCTTCGTATAATTTTATTTCCATCATTTCTCTTTTATTTTGCTCTAGTTATCTTTTGAAACATAGAGGTGATTTTTTAATGTAATAATGGTTGGCCTATACTTAATGGAGTGAATATTTAGTAATAGTTTACTAAACTATTACTATGACTATATTTGTATTTCCTCTTTCGTTTTGTACATATTCTGTGTTTTTGTTTACTTCCTTTTCCCTGCCTTTGCTATGCTTTCTTTACCCCTCCTCCTCTTTCCCCCCTTTGATTTTTGTCCTCCAGGATAATTTACATCCCAAGTATTATTTTTAGCCAGGCCTTATGTAGCAAATGATTTGTGTTGTCCTTGTCCAAAACATTTGTCATTTTCCATTGTGATAATTTATCTGGAGATAGACTTCTAAGATAACAGCTTCTCAGGACTTTTAAAATATCGTCTAGTTGTTTGGCGTCTTCTTTTGCTGATGAAGTCTGAGTTTGATCACATTGTCTCCTTTGAGGTGACTTTTAAAGATTTACCATGGCAGCTTTCAATACTTACTTTCTGAATTTAAAGTCTCGTGGTTGTACTGAACTATATGTAGGTGGCGATTTGCTTTTATTTATGAAACTTAAGACTTTGGACATTCAATGGAAGGAGGCATGCCTTTCTTTTGTTGTAGAAAATATACAGTCTTTCTCTCTTCAGATATTTCCTAGATTGAGAATTCAGAGATTCTTTCAGAGGACTCACAGAACTTGGCACACAGTTGCATTTACAGCTAGCATTTATTACAGTGATATAATGAATCTACACAACTAGATCATAAGAGGAAAGATGCTAGCAGAGTCTGGAGGACTCCACATGTAAGATTCCTTATGTTCTCTGCCTCCCGTGAAGGAATAGAAGGTGCACATGTCTCTGAGCAGTGAAAATGCAGCAACATGTGTATATTATTTACACCCAGGAAGCCCATTAGACACACAGCACCTCAATTTTTATTGGAGACTGGTTACATACACAAACTGCCTAGCACATAGCAAAATTCCAGACTCCCAGAAGGAAAGAAAAGTGTTGAATATAAATCACATTGTTTGTATAAGCAATGCCCATTTAGGGCATGGTGAGGACATTCCTGTACTCCAAATTCCCAGATGTCAACTGAAATATCAACTTTTCAAACTGACCATTCTAAGTATAGAAGCCTGGGTACTGCTCTGTTGACCATTTTCTTGGCATATCACCCCTCTCCCTTTTTTCCTCTTCTTTTCATTTGCATTTTCTATTAAACCTGTGTTTGAACTTATGCCACTATATCTCTAACCACATTTCCAGGCTCTTTATGCTACACTCTAGGTGATTTCCCAAGAGCTCTCATATTGTTCATTAAATCTGCCGTTATCTGCAACTAGCCTCCTGTTCAGCTTCCATGGTTAGCGTGCATGGGAAACAAACCCCATTTTGAACAAACCCCATTTTGAACAAACCCCATCTTGTACCCTTACCATCACTTCTGTTAGCATGTAAGGCTGGATTAACACTCAGGCCTCTCTGGCCACATTTTAAACTTATTGCTAAGTAACATTAAAACCATGTCTTTCTTTTTGAAAGATGGAATACATTCATACAGCAGGAAAAAATATATATAATATGATGCTTATATATTCCTTTGTATTTGTTTCTTCTTTCAAATTGTCCTGTTATTTCCCCATGGTTTAGTTTTCACCTTATTTCTTTGACTATTTGAACTATATTGTAAAGTCCAGATCATTTGATTAGGTACAGCTCTAGGAATTGGAAGTTTCTTTAAATATATCTGCTGATTTTTTTTCTTTTATTGATTTATGCCCTTGTAAGAATTAATATCTTTTACTGGAACTCATCAGTGGGAGTTAGTTTCCATTAGAAGTTCTGTGACTCCTTTGCTATGAAAACACAGAATATATTTTTTTGAAAGTTTGCCACTCTAGGACCTCTAAGAGCAATTTTTATTATTTTTTCCAGCTTATGGGGCTCTGTACTGTACTTATCATTTGGACAGAGTTACAGAACTAGTTTTGGCTCTTATATGTACTTCTTTGTGATCTCCTTGAGCAGTGGGGATTCTTTTAACAATGTTTTAACAAACATGGAAATCTCTTGTGGGGCCAGCTTCAAACTAGAAATTACATTGCAGTTTCCTGATAGTTGTACTCTCTGTGGTCTGCATCCCATTACAAATCTTCAAGCTTCAGGTTCTGTTCACTCTGTCACTGTAAATTCTTACTTTATTCCTGATGCCTAATACCTTTCTTTCTTTTGCTTTTGTTCTTTTTTAAAGATTTATTTTTATTTATCTATGCATACAAGAACTGGGGTATAGGCCAGAGGTGCAGGGGTTGGGTATGTGTGTGACAGGAGTTACCAGAGACAGAGTGGGGAGCCAAATAGGCAGATTTACTGAAATACACTGCTGAAGGGAGCAGTGGGGGAGACAGGAGAGGTCTGCTGCACCATGTGGGTCAGCTCCCTGGCTGGGGATTGAACTCATGCAGTAGTGGCTGGCGACAGCTTGATGGCTCTGAGACTTTAATCCCTGCACCACCAGGGGGGCCGTACTGAGCTTCAATTTATATCAAATTATTTTTGTTAAATATGGATTAGTGTTTCTTTATTTTGCAGTAGGGAAAGTAGTAGCGGTAGAGCACAGAGAGGATCCATCCACATCAGTGCAACTTTACTGAAAGGAGTTCATATTTATGAATTTTTTAAAGATTTATTTATTTATGCTTACAGAACTTGGGTACAGGCCAGAGGTGTGGTGGGTGAGAGGATTCACCAGAGACAGAGTAGGGAGCGGAACAGGCAGATTGACCAAGTAGACTGCTGAGGGGAGCAGCAGGCGGGTCAGAAGAGGTCTGCCACATCATGTGTCCCCTGGCTAGGGATTGAACTAGTGCTACAGTGGCTTCGGAGAGCTTCATAATGCAGTGTTTTAACTTGTGCCACCAGGGAGAGCCCATATTTTTACCCCATAATATTATAGTAGAAATATTTACTTCTTTGATGACTCATTGTAATTTTCCCCCGGAATTGTGGCAAGTTGATGACCAGATAGAGAACCACCAAGACAGGCAAGACCGATCTCTGTGGCAAGTTGCATTCACAGAGAAGGAAACACTGAAGGATAAAAGTAGCCAAGAATTCAGCATATGCAGAAAAATCATTTGTCTAAGCATCGACTTTATTTCTATAAAGCAAAAACACCCTGCATATTATTCTTGGGGAAGGTGTTCAAAACATAGTTTAAACTTGCCTAGTCAAAATAGCAATTACATAAGAAAGAAAGATGATGAATATAAGGCACATTGGCAATCATGCTTACATTCTAATCTTGATAAAACTCGACTTGGAGAGAAGTGCTTTGAACCTAATCAACATGGAATAGGTCTTCACCATACAGAAGCCCTTAATGAAAGTCAGAAGATTCAAAATGATGAAAAACCTTATGAATGTTCTGATTGTGGAAAAGTGTTTATCCAGAAAGCAAGTCTTGTTGTACATCAAAGAATTCATACTGGAGAGAAACCTTATGCTTGTTGTGAATGTGAAAAAACCTTCAGCCAAAAGTCTACCCTTATTGCTCACCAGCGAACTCTGATTAAACATCAGCAAACTCATACAGGAGAGAAACCATTTGTATGTAGTGAGTGTGCAAAAGCTTTTAAGAGTTCATATCACCTTATTAGACATGAAAAAACACACATACAAGCATTTTATAAAGGTATCAATTGTGGTAAGTCTCATCTTATTCATCAAAAGACACATATAGGTGAGAAACCTGTGAGCAGTAAATATGGGAAAGCTTTTGATGAGAATACCACATCCATTAAACATCAAAGAGCGCCTACATAAGAGAAACCTTATGGATTCAGTAAATGTGGAAAAAGCTTCAGGGAAAAGCCACATCTCTCTGCTCATCAGAGATTTCATACAGGAGAAAAACCCTATGAATGCAGCATATGTGGGAAGACTTTCAGTGGAAAATCACACCTCTCTCTCCATCATAGAACTCATACAGGAGAGAAACCTTATGAATGCAAAATATGTGGGAAAGCCTTTGGTGAGAAGTCCACTCTTACTGTACATCAGAGAACTCATACAGGAGAAAAGCCCTATATATGCAGTGAATGTGAGAAAGCGTTCAGTGAGAAGTCACCACTGGTTAAACATAAGAGAATTCATACAGGAGAGAGACCCTATGAATGCAGTGACTGCAGAAAAGCATTCAATAGAAAGTCAACTCTGTTCAAACATCAGAGAATTCATACAGGAGAAAAGCCATATAAATGTAGTGAATGTGGGAAAGCCTTCAGTGTGAAATCAACTCTCATTGTGCACCACAGAACTCATACAGGAGAGAAACCTTATGAATGCAGGGACTGTGGCAAAGCCTTCAGTGGGAAGTCAGCTCTCATTAAACATCAGAGAAGTCACCCAGGGGATAAAATTTAATATACTTGAGAGTGGGATCATTTCAGTAGTAATTATACCTTATCATATATATGAATTCATTCTGTGAAGTAACCTTATACATATCAAGAATTGCAAAAACTTCATATATTACTTAATGTTTATTTTACTTAATAAAAGACACAAAAATATAATTCAAGAAGCATGTAATAGTGTGATGAATTTTCACATAGCCTTCTTACCCATGAGTGGAGAATTGTATATCAAAGAATTCACAAGGGGGAAACTTGAGTATATGCAGGGAAAGAAATTAAATGTCATTGCCTATCAGTATTTATGCTGAGGAAAAATAAAAAATTTAATAAGTTTAGAAAAGCATGTTAGAAATTATGAAATTTTCATATTCTATACCAAATACTTGTGGGAAAGAGTGCTTGTAAACAAGCACCCAATTATAAAATTATGTTCATTGAAGTATGTAACAATTTTGAAAGAACAATATAAAATATAAATATTAATCATAGCTGGGAAAAACTCCAGGTTATTTTTTTTTAACAAATAGAAACATTGCTTTCTTAAAATGGAATGAGACAGGATGAATCATCAGGATCCCTGAAGCAAAGGAGCTCAAACAGTAGATCTTACACCTGTTATTCATTAGTATCTTCAATGCAAAAATGTAAGCCCCTTGTGGAAAAGATATATAACAAGCCTTGATACACCTCACTTAAGAGTGCTTACAATTTCTCTTGTTATAAAGTAACCATTTTATGGTGAAGCTATACAGTTTTCATTTTCAGAGTATCTCTCATAAACAATATTTTAAATAGCAAAATAATAAAGTTGACTATCAGTAATAGATAACTGATTAAAAAGTGGACCAATCAGGGCCTCCCTGGTGGTGCACAGGGTTAAGTCTCAGCACTGTGAAGTATCAGCAGTCACTGAAGCACAACTTCAATCCCCAGACAGGGAGGTGACCCATATGACGCAGCAGACCTCTCCTGTCTCACTCACTGTTTCCTTCAGCACACTATATTTCAGATCTGCCTGTTATGCTCTCCACTGTGTCTTTGGTGAATCCTCACCCCACCCCCACACTTCTGGCCTATACCCCTCTTCTTGTATGCATAAATAAATCTTTGAAATAAATGGAAATATCAGAGTGGAATTAATGTACCAATTAAGAATTACCCTTATGTTAGAGGACTTGAACAAATGTTTATAGTAATATGTTAAGGAAAAAAACAAAATAATGTACCATGTGGTTTATATTGTAAAAAATACACAGGAGGGATATGTACCATTATATCAGTGATTCTGGGTAATAGAAATATAGCAATTCTATGAGTAATATTATATGCACATATCTGTGTATACATATATATTTATATAATATCCATTTTAGTGTTGTATGTGTAAGTAGACAGACACATATAAAAATTCCAGAAAGAAAATACAACAAATTAGTAAAGAAATTATCGTTTGGCTGTTGGGATTACTGATGATTTAACATTTTTTTTCTGTCTCAATAAAATTAGTCATTTTAGGTAATTTTGTGCATTTTTAATTCTTCCCATACACTTTCTCATACTGCTTTGTCTTTAACATATGACATCATTCTTTTAAAATGACTGACTTCACATGTGCTTACTGTATTTTTTTTTCTATTTGGTTGTCTGTGTCTGGTTTTGAGAATATATTTTGAATCTTGAGAATGGGTATCGTGATTTTAATATCTGTATGCGAATTTTCCTATTAAAATAAGGCATCTCCATAACTCTTTATACCAAATCATGTTGTCAACTAACCAATCTTTTTTCAAAGATTTTTAAAAAGATTTATTTATTTATGTGTACAGAACTGAGGTACAGGCCAGAGATGGAGGGGCAGTGAGAGGATTCACCAGAGACAGAGTGGGGAGCAGAGTAGGCAGATTGATGAAGTACACTGCTGAGGGGAGCAGCGGGCGAGACAGGAGAGGTCTGCTGCACCCTGTGGACCACCTCTGGGGCAGGAGATGGAACTCACACTGAAGTGGCTGCCGCTAGCTTGCAGTGCTGTGTCCTAACCCATTGTGCCACCAGGGAGGGCCTCAAATTACCAATTTTACAGGTGAGGAGAGATGTCGTCAATGATCAAAGGTACAAGAATAATGGAACAAAATCTAGTACCTGATACCACTATTTGTGCCATTGAATGCTTCTATTTGCTCTCTTCTTGTCCTGTTCAGCTGTATGGTAATGTTTTCTCATGGTATAACTTCTAGAACTCTTATTTACTGTATAAGGTCTGTAGAACACAGAATGCTTTCCAAAGAATTTGTGTAAAGACAAAAAGATTATTTACAGAATCATAAGAGGCTTCTTCTAGGTTGCCTGACAGTGGGCTAGCTTAGTGGGACAGGGGGCCCTGCAATCCCCCAGACAAGGTGAGGGACTGCTCTTGAGCTCAACTTCCCATGAAACTGTTGGGAAGCTGTCATTTTCCCGGACAACTGGCACCTAAATTCAAGTATTTGTCCTGTGCTTACAATGACACATATTTTTGCTATGAAAAGGAAGAGCGGTAGTGGGTGGGAGGTCTCTCTCCTGATACATCCAGCTGCCCCCGGCCCAAGCATATCTCTGCAGGATAGCAAGAGGTCTGTGCTCTTTGAAGACGTATGTGTATGTGACTCAGTCTGCTTCAGTGATACTTGTTGATTAAACTGTTTGCTTGGCAGTGGTGCCTAATGTGGAGTGAACATGGTAGAAAAATTGAAATGTTTTACTTGACAGGTAGGAAGCATCCTCTCTGGGGTTGGGGGAAGATCAATAGTGCTATGACTGAATGGCCACAGTGTGGGCCATAAGCACCCCTAAACTGGCTAGGCCACTTGAACCTATGGCCAGAAGGTCTATAAATCCCAGAAACACCATTAACTAGGCAATTTGTTTGGTCCTAGTAAATAGTGAGTGGGTAGGCAAGATGTCTGAAGACCACAGATCCACACCTAGATGGGGAGATAGTCTAGCGGTGTCACAATGAAAAATGAGGCACAGAGACCAGGGCACTCATTGCTAGATCCCTCAGCTGCTCTATTTTAGAACTTAAAAGGTGAAGAGAAGGGAGCAGAGAGGCCCCCACCGCAAATCTGGACACCATTGTGATGACAGCTGATGTAGCCCAACTCTGTTGATTTTACCATGATATGACATACCAGAGAACTTTTGGACAAAGTTGGGCACATATAAAAGTGTGACAGGGATCCTCCCTGGTGGCACAATGGGTTAAAGCACAGCAATATGAAGCTATGGCAGCCACTGCAGCACAAGTTGGATCCCTGAACAGGGAGTTGACCCACATGGCTCAGCAGACTTCTCCTGACCCACCCACTGCTCCCCTCAGCAGTGTACTTTGTTGATCTGCCTTTTCTGCTCCCCACTCTGTCTCTGGTGAAGCCTCTCACTGTCCCTGCACCTCTGACCTGTGCCCCAGTTCTGTATGCATAAATAAATAAATCTTTTTTAAAAAATATGACAATCCATGGAAATAATAAGGCTTCCCTCAAGGCTGGAACCTTGCAATGTTCTAATCTCTGCCTCCCTCTCCACTGGGCCTTTTCCTCATCTTTGTCCTCCTGTCTCTTATTGGGACACTTGTCACTGGAATTAGGGCCCAATTTCGTAGTTCAGGATAATCTCACCTCAAAATCCTTAATTGTGTCTGAGAATACCCTTTTTCCAAATAAGGTCATGTTCACTGGTTCTGGAGGTTAGTTAGGACATGGACATATCTTTTGGGGGACCATACTCAACCTATATTAAGATAGCCACATAAATTTTCTGTTCATTAGGTTTGCATTATATATCATAGTCCATCACTTCACTTCCCACTCCGGTGTGTCCGTATATTAATGACTGTGTATTGTCTTTTTTTTTTT